CGACACTGTGTAGCACAGAATGTCCACGACCACTGTATAGTCTTCCAGCGTGGAAAAATTGAATCGCATGACTGCTGTTGCTGAGTCACACTATGAGTATAATTTTCACCGTGTGATGAGAAGAAGATATGAGCTACATAAGAGAAACTGCTCGCGCAGTGGACTTTACAGCTGTGCAAGTTTTTTTTCTTCAGATCCCGCTTGTACTCGGGCATTACCGTTAATTTATGTATAGATCATCCGAATATATTGACCAAGTGTGGACTCGGGCATTACCGTTAATTTATGTGTAAATCATCCGAATATATTGACCAAGTGTGGATCGCATTTTTCGCACATGAAGTGTTGATACGTATACAGCTAATGTTAATTACAGCTCAGTCGCGAGCTGAGGCTCCACCTGCATCATGCTTGCTGGATGCCCATTGAATTTCTGGTTCGCCTATACCTTCTCCAGATTAAACCTTACCGTTTTTAAGCCTATCGATTAACTTTGCAGTAGCCGTTCCCATGCGTTGCGCGAAAAAAGCGCAGGCGCATACAGTTTTATGCTCTTGAGCAGGCAGCCAAAACATACCAAAGAGAGGCAGAATAAGACAAGCAAGATGCAGAGGGATATGCTCCCCTGAGTAGGTTCAATCGGAAAACACCCGCTCCAACGCTAATTTCACATTCCGAAGTCTTGTTGGACAGTGCTTTAACAATGACGTGGCAGGCCCGTTGCGGGCTGAGGCCACCTTCGGTAACTCCTCTACACCCAGTACCTCTATGTATCGCTGCTTGCCTTGCAAGACCAGCGGAAAAAGCGAATTGACAAACCGGCAGTTAGCGCCACTAGATGCAAAGAGCAGGTGCGCAGATGTGAGCGGAAGGCTTGGCTCAATTTTTCTGGACGTGCGTGAAGGAGGATGAAATGGCGCTTAAATCGGTTCACGCACGGAGGCAAAGACGCTGAATCTAGATGTAGAGTCTTAATACGTGCAAAGGGAGTAAACTATATGCACTTCACGCAGCGCATCAAACGATCGTGATAGTTGCGTTGGACATTTCTTCCTGCTTGGAGGTTCGGAAGGGAGCGCTCTAGAGACTTCCTCTTCATTTTAAGCAGACTTGCCGAGATGTCTGCCGTGCTCGTACGGCAGTGGTGATGGCTGTAGAAAGAACAATCACGCAAATAACAGCATATGGGCTGCCGCTACGATCTTTACTGAGCAACAGCGCAATGCATGATCCAAGAAGGTTCAGTGCCTCTGCAGCTCGTCAGGCGGCAAGCAAGCTGGCAAAGGTTGCTTACTGGCCTAGTGCCGAGATGCCGCTATATGGGTTAAACAATTTATTAGCCAGCTGGTGGCAGTCTGCAGCGCCTCACGCTCTGCAAAATGCAAGGCAGTCGAACCANGAAAGCCAGCTAGCTCATGGTTTCTCATAAATTTCGCCCTAGTGCCATGCAGGCAGTTGTTCTGTGCTTCTTTCCGAGATCTGGTGACTCGTTACAACCCCCCAAACAAGCTTGCTCCTTAAGGAAGAGTTTGCAATTGGCGTCCGGAATGACAGTGTTAGAACAATTTTGTGTATGATCGCTAAACTTCAGTACTTTTTTCGCTGTTCAGCTAACTTGTACACTTCTTTGCACCTCAGACTCCCTTTACGCAACATTCAGCACCATTTCCTTTGCCCAAGCAGTCAATGAGGGCACTAAATTCAAGTGCATCTGCACCTGTTGTTGGTGTGCTAGTATTAGCTGAGCATTCACCTGACGCAACTGCACAGCGGCATTCAACGCCTGAAACGTCTACTCCCCCTGCATTTCCCTGTGCTCTGAGAACTACTTTTACTGTGAAAACATAACATCTGAAATATTGACCAGGCATTATGCTCAGTTCAGAGAGATTCCAGCTGTTGCATACGACGAAGTAGGATAGGTTTGCAGGAAGCATACGTGTTGACTTCAATTAACTGGATAGAAGCAAGAGTATGAAAGACAGAAGAGGCAGAAACCACAGCGTGAAGAAAGCGTGTGCAGGACAGACAGAAATTGTAAATAAAGGACATTTGAACGTTGACAAAAATGGTACTTTGTTTCATTTGCTTGCTGCACGCTCTACAGTCCCACGTTTTTGGAATTGTACTCGACTGGGGTCAGTTCAAGAGGGAGAGTCCTCAACCTTAGCCGAGAGTCCTAAGCTGCAACCGAACAAAAAAAGGCTAACGCGGTGAAAGTTATCTTCGAGCATACAGATGTCATAGGCACAGAGACATAAAGCTGAGCAGATATAGCATGGTCTGTTCGATTTTCGCACGCAGATTTATGTCCACGTGCTGGACGGCAATTAAGGACTCAGGAAGTGGTGAACAACTGTCTATATCAAACGACACGCATAAAAAAGTGCATTTGCTCCACCTATCTCCCCCCGTGCAGTCAGCTCAACCCCGTATCTGGCCATCCAACAAGGGAAAGGTAGGCAAAGAAGACGGAAGGCGGTAGCCAGAGGGGGGCACTGACTCGAATAAAAATAACTAGCAAGTGGAAGCGGTGAACGTCATCTGCTGCTATTGTTTATATGTGCTGCTGCTGGCAACATGGCGTTGCTGCAAGGAAACTTGTCGCCATAGGTCAGTACGCATCGCAGTTTAGTGAGCACGTTCAGCGTCAAACCTAGCATGAGGTCGACTTCCACCCTGGCCCTAAACCCCAGCATATGCACGTAATGGAAATGTTGTAGCCGGCAGCGCCAATCTAACCATAGGTAGACAGAGGGGCCTAACTAACACCTGTACACTCCTTAGCGCCGGAGAGCACCTCGACACCAAGATGTGTCTCTCTCTATTCTGATGGAGATGCAGCTGTCACCGCGCTACGATGAGAGAGGTTTCAGTATGAACCTTAGAAGTTCAACGTATACACGAGAAAAAGAAGTGGTTTCCGTTTTCGCCGGGGCATTTCAGCGCAGGTCACATCGATTTTTCTTAAGCACAGACTTCGCGCAGTGTCGGCCATTCTCCCAATGAATGCTGTCAGCCTTCGCCGAAAGCTAACCATCAATGTTTCATCATTCTAACTGCCCCTTCA